TGTGGGATCTACCTGAAACCAGTGTTTCTGCCTGCCAAACCCCAGCTTGGAAGATAACTCTCGCTGGCTCCAGAATGGGAGGATGTTAAAAGCACTCCTGCCCAGATGAAGAGACAAACCATGATGACGTGGCACCGGGTGCATCCCCAAGCCGGCACATTTGCATTGCTGCTCAAGGGTGAGGGGTTTGGAGCACTGACTGCTTCCCCATACCCTGCACCCCATGATGACGGAGTAGTTGGATGTCAGTGGGCAGGTTGGTACTGTGATGCCTTTCCTTCCTTCTGCATTAGAGGGGAATTTTTGCTTCCTTGTGCCCTAGACACGACAGCTGAAGCTTTGTTCTCTCTCTGTTTTCAGTGAATCAAATTTTTTTTTCCAGTTTCCTCCACAGCCTGCTTCGGATGCAATAGAGCTCATTTTGTTTGACATCTTGGTAGGCCGATCTCCCCTTAGATTTGCAGGACTTGTCTGTCTCTGCCTCTCTCTCTGCTCACAAAGCTCTTGCTGTTGTGCAGTGAGTGCTCCAGGGCAGCCTTCCTCCATCGCTGCCCCACGGAGCAGTTTGCAGCACTGTGCACGGTCCCTTTCGGCGCTGAGAGGCAGCTAGGGCCCAAGCTTTGCGTTTGTGACCCTTCTGTGCAGCTCTCCGCAATCCTACCGAGTACGGGGCTTAAGCACGGGCCTCAGGGAGGGGAGAAGAACCGCCCTCATGGGCCAGACTGGAAGCCTCTCAGCACGTTATCCTGTTTCCAGCGGTGACCATGCGGGATGCCTGGGGGTAAATAGAAGAATAAAGGCATTGCTAGACCAGTCCTTTCCCCACACTCAATCACTGGCAATCTGTGGTTTTGGCTGTGCTTCCCAAGCACCCGTGGTTTCCAGTCCATCGTGCTTAAGAAAGTATGGTTCCTTCTCCTTGAAGGTACATCCTCCCTTTTTGCCCCCATTTCAATGTGTCCACTGGACTCTGTGGAAGTGCCCCAGTTGCTTCAAGGCAGCTGTTAATTTCTTGGAGGGTTGTTCTACACCCTGATGGATTGGGATCCGAGGGTTGCCCACTCTAGCGGGATGAGGAGGGCAGTTAGACCTTTGTGTTTTTTTCTGTTCTTCCACCCTGCAGGCTCGAAACTGAGGAGGCAGCATGTGTTGGGCTGGGAGAAATCCTGCTGTTTAGTGGCAAGGAGTTTTCTTTTTTTCCACGTGATGCGTGAAAACACACCCTCGTGGCATTGCCCCGGATGACTTGCCCGGCCAAACCCTTGTGACTGACGGGACCAAGCGCTTGAAAATAGCTATCTGAAGAAGTAACGTTTGAGGATGTTTTCTCATTTTGTTCACTTATCTAAGGGATATTAATGATGTTCTGATGGAGCCAATTAAGCAGGTGCATTGATAACAACATAGCAAGAGCTGTGTTGCTACCAAGATAATGTCAAGTGATCTCCAAGGGTTTCCCGGGTACGCGCCGTTGGTCCTACTCAGGAGGCTCAGAACGGCTGCGAAGCCCTTTCATCTCTGGTCTGAGAGGGCTGGGGTTTTGCCATCGTTGGTTGGGGGTTTTCAGCGACTTGGCCAAGCGGGTCCTTCCTGCAGCGTTCTTCGCTGAGGCTTGACTGCGCTGCCTTCTCGTGCCTGGCCGTGCCGCAGTCGTCCTCCGTAGCATCGCGGCCATTTCCATGGCAACGGCACGTGCTCGGCTCTAATAATGTCAGGTTACAGTTGCTTCTCTGTGTGTGCAGACAGGAAAGGAGTTTTCTGAGGTAAGAGCTCAAATGACTTGCAGAGGAGCGTTTTGGCTCAGGAAAGGCAGACTTTCCAGCGGCTAGGGATGCCTTTTGTGCAGCGCTGTAAACGCTAACGATGGTTATTTGAGGGAGCTTTCTGCAGTGTTGTTTTGCTCTGCCAAGTGGATCTCTCTCAAACTTGCAGTAGGAGGGCGATTTATGGGAGAGGCCCTAAATTTAGAGGGCGATTGTATGGGAGAGGACTACAGAGCAGGTCTCTGGAGTGTCTTGCTACCTGAGCCACAGGGCGATCACACTGGTTGTATGTTTTCTTAGAAGTGGCTTTAAAGGTTGCTGTGGGATCCAGTGTGGAGTCTGCTCCTGGGACGGCTGTTTTCCATGGGCCAAGTGCAGACACCCAGGGTGTGGGGAAAGCTCACGCGCAGCCCTTGAATGTGATCCCCTGAAAGCAAGAGCTGTTCAGGGCTGTGTTTTGGCTTGGCCAGGGATGAAAATGAGACCGTGCTTGCTCGCTCGCTCTCTTTCCATCGCGGGGCTGGAGTATAGAGCTGCCCAGTTAACTTTTACCAGGGTTTCTGGCATCCTTCAAGCAATACTGACTCGATGGAGAATGGAAAGGGCCATTTGCTCTGCAAACACTCTTTTGCCTCTCTGCTGGAGTAATCAAGGTGATATACCCTCTCTCGTGGTAGGTGATCAAAGACAAAACTTAATGGATCCTTGGACCAAAGGGCCTGCTTGGTTCCTGTTGCCACTGTCATGGACTCACTAACCTCCTATGGGATCAGGTGTGACAGGCAAAGCCTGTGGCACGTGTTGCGCTAGTAAGGCAGGGGCTGCAGCTGATGTCAGGGGTTGTGCTGATTGGCAGATGACATCTCTGCAATATCTTGACCTTGGGCTCCTCCTCCAGAAGGTAGGTTGAAGCCCAAGGGCTCTGTTTTGTATCTCTGGAAGAGTCTTTCAAGTGAGGCAGCAACGTGACTGTTGATTGTTTGCTGTCCGGCACCATCAACATAGTTGCTGAGCCACCCAAAATGACAAGTCCTCTGACTCTAGCATGGTAGTTCTAGCACTTTTTTTTTTTTTAAAGTAGCAGCTGCTTTAGCACAGTCCAGCCTGATTCTCCTTGGCTAGTTTAGTTACAAGGCCAGGGCCCTTAAGGGATTTAAAAGTATAGTTTATACTTAAATACCTACATTTTACAGAAGACTGATGGTATTTAGGGGTCTACATGGCTTCTGGAAGGCTGGGCATCTGAGCGGTCCCAAAGTGGGACCAGGGAAGATGGACAGCAGAGTCAGCGGTGAGGACACTGAGGGACGATTGTTATTTCCTGAGAATACCAAACGCGTCTCCGTGAAGTTTCTTTGGTCTTCCCCTGGTCAGCCACGCAGGATAACATCAAAGGAGGCTGCCACTGGGAGCAGAGGGGAAACAGAGACGGAGGTAACGCGTCTCCAAGGGAGCCCTGGCTGAGGGAAAACCGTCTTTCTGGCTCCGATCAAGCTGGCAAGTTCGGTTCTTCCCAGCGCAAAGGGTACGGTTGTGCTAAACCTCTGGCAGTCTGTGTAATTGCAGTGGGTGGATGGGATTGTTAGCCGCGGCCTGGGGCAGCCGCTCACGGAGAGAGGCAGAAATTACAACAAGCACAGCTGGAGTATCGTGGCTCGGGGACGCTCGCAGAAGGTTTCAGGGAAGGATTCTGGTGCTGGTGAAAGTCATTCCTAGAGGCCTTTGCTCTGCGTGCCGCACACCTGTGCGTGAATTGTTGCGAAGGAGCCCGTTTTGTGCTGCTGGTAACTAGGTGCCAAGAGCGGTCTGGTCTGTAGTCCGGGGCTGAAGCACAGTGGGTTAATACCACCCTGCACAGACAGCGTTGCTGTCCTCGGAGGGAGCTGAAAGGTCAGTCCTCTGGTACTGACAAATGCCGTGGCCGTTCGGGACCAAAAATACCCTACGGTTGACTGCACTTCTCCCCCTCTGCTGCCACCGCTTCCCCCATGTTCCCCGTGCCGCAGCCGTGAGTTGTATGTGTGTTTTTGACACGTCACCTGGGCAACACTGACTCACCCAGCTCATGTGAAAAGCAGAGGCAGGCTTCGCCATCAGCCCAGCTGAAGGGATCTTGCTCTCAGCAGCTTCAGAGCCTCCTGGGTTCGCTCTCAGTTTAGCTTGGATCCTTTTCGGCAGTCTTTTGCCCAAGCGCGAGATTAGTTCTCTGGGATTGCAATGTTCCTGAAGGAGACACGTTAAGGAGCGAGCTGTCTGCTCCCTGTTTTGGCGTGGGAGTAGGTGGTGTTGCCTCTGGAATTAGGTTGGAATCCGTTCTGGTTTTAGGTGCGTGTGGCCGGACTGGAGCTTGGAGGACCCCTAAAGCACACCTTTAAAGCATGTTAAGCTGTACACTGCGTGCTTCACATTATGTGTTTTCTCTGCATAGGTCTGGAGCATGTGAGGAGACCTCGTTCCAAAGCTGGTATGCTCTGGCCGTCCAAATAATTTATGGACAGCCAACAGAGTGAACGATCAGAACAAATCATGTAATTGATGAATGCGTCCTCTCTTGTTAGCAGAGCATCCACAGACAGATCCGTGATTATCTTGGCTTTAGTCACGATGGAAAGTCACTCAATGAAAGTTTATTCTCAAATTGCACTTTCTCTTTGTTTGGAAGTCAAATGACAACTCCCAGTTATGTAGCTTAGCTGCGAGTGATCACATGGCTTCGTTGCTGGCCCCAGCCTGGAGGAATATTACCGACTCTATTTATCGGGAGGAAGGGGAGGAGAGAGGCTGATTCTAATGCTTGAGAGTTATAAGCCCGAATGATAAGTTTCAGCCATGCTAATGAAACTAGGTGGCATGAATATGAACATAAAAAGGTACAAACATAGTCAAATTAAACCTACTTAATTTAAAAGCAGTTCTTGGATATTTCCACCACCATATAGTTCCAGCGCTAATACCTATTCTTCAAGTATCAGTAAGTTTCGGCAGTCTCTCCAGAACATGAGAGGCAAGGATCTGTGGTATTCAGCTTTTTTTTTTTCCTGAATCTTTTCAAAAAGCTTTTCCCCCCTGCTATGTTCTAGGAATTAGAAGGTAGGAAGTGAAAGATGCTAAAAGGACAAAAAAATCTTGTTTGTGTTACAGTTTAGAAAAGAAACACTGTTTCTTCCTTTTTATAAATGGTTTCCAAGGGTTTCACAATTTTTTCTTTCTTTGCGTTGTTTTTTTTCCCCATTTTGTCACTGAAAAAGTGAAAGAAAACAGGGAGAGAAGTACTGAAAAAGCCAAACGTTTCCTTATCCAGTTAATCTCTTAAGAACTTTTTAAAGAAGTGCCATGTGTTAATTTCTAGAATAAGGAAAAAAAAATCCGCTGCTTGCATATGATTTTTTCCCACTTGAGGTATTTCATCCTGTCCTAATTAAAACTTGTTTGTTTGCCAGAAATGCTCCACTTGGAAACTGAGGAAAAAGGTAAGTGTGCGTGTACAGAGGGTGCAGGGGGCAGAGGTGGTTCTCTGGGATACTGCACGGATAAAATCCCGGCTCCGTGGGAGACGGTGGGATTTGCTGCCGACTCCAGCGAGGCCAGGCTTTCACGGAGATGGAGTAGAGCGGCTGTGCCCCGTCCCGTCTCCCTTGATGGCCCCCAGCCCTCACGTTGGAGCGGTTCTGGGCTCCTTTCAGGAACATGACATTTTCCCTGGTTGCAGCAGGTCCTCATTTATGCTCTGCTAGGACTATGCCAAAGCTTTCCCAGTTGACCAGCAGAATTTGATGCTCTACGGAGGACATTGGTGCTCTAGGCCCAAGTGCTTTTCTCTTCACGGTTGTAAATCTGTTGCATGTCCCACAAATTCCTGTTTTTCCACCATGCAGGTCTGACTGGTGTTCACGAGTGAGCTGTGGTTCATTTCCACGTCAGGTTAAACAAGGAGGTGTGTTGCAGAACAGAGGGACTGAGTTTGAGAGCACTGACAGGTAAGTTGTTTTCTTCCTACCTTTTCTGAATGCGTTCTTACCTTTCCCACCAATGCCACTCAGGTCACCAAAAAATCATCCCTCCATGGCTGCTTGTCCATGGCTGTTTACTCAGAGCGAAGGACACTGAAGGATCCCTGCTGAAACGCTGTTATCCCCAGTCCTCTGGGCAGCAGATATTCAGCCCCTTCTGGTTTGCAGCCGTTAGTCTTTTCTGGTTGCAAAGCCAAGGAAGCCAGCTCTGCTCGCCTGTCCATTGACACCAACCCTGGATAGACGAGTTGTCGCGCACCGTCTCTGGCAGGCACGTCTCTGTGCATGCCCTGGTGACGGCCTCGTACAGCCCCGCTCTCTCTTTGAGGTGCTGGCCAGGAGCCCGGCCCAGCTGTGACGATTTGCTGTGAGCAGAGATGCATCGTTTGCTGGTACCTCAGGAACCAAATGCTGCAGCAGACTATTGCTATTGTGTTTGCTTTCCCCAGTTGATGTCAGGGAGGAGAAGGCACATCAGGAGAGGATGACTTCACAGGGCCACTCTGGAAATCAGTCACCCCCTCCTTGGAGAGAGGCCTGCTGGAAGGGTGCCCAGGCAAAGTGTTGCCTATTATGTTTTCATCCTTGTACCCCGTTACAGGCCGTGTTTACAAATGCTGAGTCGATGCTGTTCAGCAAGGAGCCAGCTAGCTCTGTTGATAACGTAGCTTTTGGTCGCTGCCAAAGCCCTGAGAGCTTCACGGTGTGTTCTGTGTTGTGGGCCGCAGCGCTGGGTCTGGATGGCCCTGTGGGAGCATGAGAGGTGAAAGGAAAGGAGCAGGCAGGCTGGCTATTTGGTTACTTTTCTTTAAGTACAGTATGAATTAGCTCTTCCTGATGAATGAACCCAGTACAGCTATTTCTGGACCCCACAGCCCTGCAAGATGTTTCCCCCAGGTACAGATATAGTGATGGTCTCCAGGTGGGCCTTCATGTTATCTTACGTGCTGTGTCTCTCACCTGGGAGAGCTCCCCCTGAAGCACAGGGGAAATTTCCTAATGTAGCTCAGCTGAGCTCCCTTTGGCTGAATCAGTTGCTGGAGAAATGAACCCAGCTCTTATCAAGCTGTGAGATACCACTGCAAACCACAGCAGCAACAGGAGAGCTTTTCAGACATGCTGCAGTCCAGTTCTGCACTGGTGGAAGAGCTCCATGTGGCCAGAACCCATCTCCTGCTAGTGGAGAGGTGTGCTGTGCAGGAGGGTGACCTCCCTCCCTCCCTCCGCAAGCAGGGCTGCTTTTGCAAAGGCAAGAAGGAGATTCCTCAAAATGGCTTCTAGGTGTCTCCACTGGAGCGCCAAAAATGCTTTAAAAGCATCTGTTTTTCATTGGGAAAGAGGGCAAAATGGATAGTTCTTTTAAGGAGTCTCACATGAAGCACCAAAGGACCGAGATGATTTCGCCAGCCCTACTGGAAAAGTGCTGGCCATGGCCTTGGAGAGCAGTTATTGGTGATGTGGAAGGTGACTTGCCTCCCTTGCTTCAGCGCAAACCAGTATGAGCAATGTGCTGTCTGGGCTTGAAAACCCAGTCACGCTGGCATCCTGTAGTGCTGGGACCTGAGCTAAGAGACTTCTCTTCTTTGAAGCCAGGATCAATAATCTGGGAAAATCAAAAAACAAGGCAGGAACTCCTCCTATCTGCTTCCCAGGGGAGCCAGAGATGGGGTTAAAGTCTTCACTGTGTTTAGGCTGCTGCTTTAAGAAAATCCGTGAAGATTTCTAGCAGTGTATCTTCTAGGTAACACACCCATTTCAATCGTGTGGTTAATTATATTAAATAATTACAGGATTTAGATCATTTACACTTAGTTTTTTTTCACGCCCGGGGTAATCACAGGATGCGAAGTACAAGACTGCGTAATTGGGAGAGGTGGACTCCATGCCCAGCTCCATTATTGCCTCCGAGAGGGATCTAGGGCATGCCCCTTACCCGTGCCTCCCTCTCACTTTGCCATCCCTCCCCTCGAGATGACAGCATGCTCTTTTTTGGGGGGTGTTGCGGCTTACGTCAGCGCTCTGAGCCCCTCAAGTGGGAGATAACTCAGCAGCAGCATCCAGGTAGCTCTGGGGGCCCTGGGAAACTCTGGTGTGTGGCTGGGAGTTGTTGCATCTTGCTGTGTAAGAAAACCCTGACACACCTGCGTAAATTTCCCCGTAGCCTGGGGCTTGGGTGGAAATGTATTGGATCATTAAATCAATCTGCTTAAGAGCTATTTGAAGACAGAAGATGTGAAATCAGGCATATAAAATGGCGATCGTGTCTAGACTATTCCCAGAGCATCTGCCTGCCTCTAAATAGAGCTGTTGTTTGCAGTGACTCTGGGTCTTGGCTTCTGACCCTGAAGGGACAGGCAGAGCTCTTCTGCTCGCTCGTGGAGAAAGCCTAGGTAAGCCTCTGGTCCGTCTTTTCAAAGGAGTTGGAGCTTACCCAAACAGGCCAGGATGTCACCTTGCATTTATGGGTTAGCAAGTGAGCTTGGGTTGGTGGCTCCTGTTAGGACAGGAACAAAGGAAGCTTGAAGAGAGGCATGTGAGTTTGAGACACAGGTCCCAGGTGCCAAGTCTTGGTTTGCTGGTCTTGAGGCAGATTTGGTTCTGCTTTGTAGAGAGGCTCACACAGGTTTTGGAGAGATCTGGAAGAGAGAAAGCTCTGTTTAAGGTCTCCGGCTTCTTGGATTTGTGCTTTCTTTTGGCCTCCTCCTTCCCCTGGACTGAGATCCCAAGGAATTAGGAAAGAGGGTGGCAGGAGAAAAGCCCTTTTATTCTGAAAGGAGCTGTCTGATGAGTTTATACATGCCTCTGCTCTGACCTTGTGCATTAGGGAGCTTCCTTAGCGTATTGCTGCATGCAACTGAGGGGGCTACTCTGACCAGCTTGTTGCCTGTGTGCATCCGCCGGGGGTTTCTGCATTGCTTCCTTGCGTTCCCTTCCTAGGGCATGAGATAACTGCATTACTTTGAGAGTCGGGACCGTGCACTGCAGAACAGCAAGCTAATTGTAGGGGAGATTTCACACCAGATCTGTGTCCTATAGCTCCTCAGTGAAGTACAACAAATTCTACCCTGGGGCAAAGGGATGGATCAGATCATGGGAGCCACAGTTTTCCCTTGGAGATTGATGCAGATCTGGAGCAGTTCCAAGCACAGTTCCCAGGCTTGGGACTATGGTACCTGCTCGGTGCTGGACAGTGTTGGTTTAAGGGCTGACAGGGCATCCAGATTTTGGCTAGCAGAATAAGGTAACCAACCAGTGCTGCAAAAGCTGTCGTCGCAGGGTTGCTGCAGGACCCTGCTGCAAGACCAGCTTAGCTTTATCTTTCAGAGGAGGAAGGAGACCTCTGTGAAGTTGAGCTTTTTTCCCACGTGGGGCCATTTCTGAAGTTTCTCCCCTCTTCTCAGACCTCTGAGATGCACCTACTGTGTCTTCTGGCTCCTGATCATATGGAGGTCATGGTAGATGATTCTCAGGTGAAGAAGGCTGCGTTTGTCTCTGGAGCACACAACAGCTCCAGCCCAGCGCTGCAGTTCTCTTCAGTGAAGCAGCAGGACTTGATTGGGCAGGACTTCCACACAGAGATATGGATCACATGCAACATGGTTGCCAGATATCAGCTAAAGAGCTGACTTGAAGTTTATCCATAGTCATGCTCACACCCCACTCTTGTTCCCATGCTCATCAGTCTTTATACCTCCAGAACGGTAGCAAATTGGCAGAGCAGAGCTCCGGAGTCCTTCCCATTCAGAAGGTCATCAGCTACTAGGAGGATGAGGAATCCACATAACCTGCCTCTTGAAATTCCCTCTCCTCGTTTTGATGCAGAGCACGGCCAGAAGACTGACTTTATTGGTGAGGAAGAGTGGAACGGATCCAAAGCCTGTTGTCTCGTGAGTGATTTAGACCAGGAAGGCACTGGGAGCGTAAGTCTGGGGTGGCTGTGGGGGACAAGCCGTGGTACCTCAGTGGATGAAGTACCCCCTAACACCCTCCCATGCTTCTGAGCATGTTTTATAAAGCTCTGCTTCATGCGGCACTGCCTGCTCCCTCCGTACGGCTTGTTGCGAATGAATCGCTTAGCAGTCCTACCGAGGAGACAAACAGCGCTGATGCTAACGTGGCATTATCTGTGTTTCAGGCTGGTAACCAGGGTGCCTGCTGGAAGGGCTGTAGCTGTTGCGTCGAAACCCAAATGCAATTATGCAATGTCTGCTAAGCAGCAAGGAGTTTGCCTGGATCAGGAGACTGCTTCATTGCCCGCAGAAGAGACCGACAGCAGCCAGTAACTGATTGCTTCTTATTGCTGAAGCATCAGTGATTTTTTTCCGATGCTTTCTCCTCTTTGTAGCCATGGCTCTGAGACATTCAGTACGCTGAGTGAAGCGCTGGGGTGGGGGAAGAGGCAAGGGCAGCAGACAGGATAAGGCCAGCTGGAGGAGCAGTAGTTTTCAGTGGCAATAAGCAGGACATTGGCAACTCGTTTTCCTCCTGTTTCTCTGCTGACTGCCTTCCACATCTCTGTAATGACACGTCAGACTGGGGTGTTCCCCTTGTTTCTGTGCTCCTGTTTGCATGGCTCCAGGTTGGCTTAGAAACCTTTCCCCTTGTGTGTGTTTGATAGTCCCGTCTCTCAATGCAAGAGCGGGCGCTCAGAGGAGGCGGTTTTTTTCTCTCCAGGGTCCTGGCTCTTTTTCCATCAGACACCAGTGTTAGGTGAACATCCCTCCAGTGCAGAAGGAATGAATCCTTCATTTTCACAAATGCAAATGCTGGCTACCCGTTGCCTATCTAAGCGATATTTGGTTCCTGCCGCCTCCTTGCAATTCTAGTTCAAAAGCACCTCTCAGACTGTAACATCTGTTATCTTTAGCTTTACAGCTCTGAAACATGCGTTGGCTTAATCACATGTTTAGCACTGCTGACTGTGGTACGTGTCCAAATATTAAGTAACTTACTGAGCTGGGGCCTAGCTTTGACTGATGGGATTAGGGCTATCAGATTGTTTTTTTCCATTTGGGTCACCGAGAACATTTAGATAGACAATTAAAAGAGATGCTGCCCTCTGTAATCTTGCTGGAGAGAGAAAGAGTAACCAGGAAAGCATTTGGCTGAAGAAAGATGAAGTGCAAGTCCACTGGAGGTCTTTTGCTGGGCCTAAAGAGAGTTTAAGCGTTTTGCAGGGGACCAAAACTGACCACGCGTGGTTGACCGCCACTGCCAGAAAATGGAGGGAGCAAGCGAAATCGGAGGAAAGGCTGCAGACCAGGATATACCCATCTATTGGGAAGAGAGTTTCTTTAGTTCAGCTGCTTGCAGGCCTGCTCCACCAGTCAACGTGCCGTTTGTTGTTGACTGGCTCCTCCCAGGTGGGCCAGTCACAAAAACCCAACACAGTTGCCTTGCTGGGACCAGCTGACCCGGCTGTGATCTCCATGTCCTCCCTTCTGGCTGGAGAGCAGCAAGCCTGGGGTAGCTCTGCGGTGTCCGAGCTGTTGTTTAATGTTCTGTTGTGCAGGGCAGGCTGCCCGTGGAAAAGCCTTGGGCAAGCGTAACCAGAGAGGTCTGATGACATGCTTTCTCTTGGACACCAAGGTCCTGGCGGCTGTTTTTTGGGTTTCCTGTTCTGCCCTTCAGGTCTCAGGTCCTGGCAGGTGGTATCCTAGGTCTGGTGGCAGCAGAGGCTGAAGGTGTGAGGAGGTGCAGGCGTCTCCTGGAGCAGCGCTGCTGGCGTCCCGCTGCTGGGCTGGAAGGGACTGCTCCAGGGACCGTGCTGGCTCTCTGGACGTGGCAGGAGCGTCCGTCTTGTGCTGGTGCCAGCCCTGGCTGGAGCTGCCCTGCGCTCGCAGCTTGGCACCACCACGCTGGCTGGCCTCTCGGGGCACGCGAGCCACCGTCTGTGTCCTACACCTGGCTCAGACCTGCCTTTTGTGGCTGGATCGTGCGGGACAAGCCGTGTCTTGCTGGGACAGAGGGCTGTTTCTGGCACTTCAGCCAGTTCCTGCAAAGGGCTCTTCACCTTCAGCAGTCAACACGCCTGTGCAGGCACCTCTCGCGCCGCTGACGTAGTCCGATCTCTCCCTGGCCGTGTTTCTGGGCACAGTTCACCTGGTGAACAGCCGCTCGTCTGCGTCCGGGCTGAGAGCTTGAGGGGGCTCCAGGCCACGTCCAGGGTGCTGTGATGAGACGCTGCTTCCCGCTGCTCCACGCGACCCAGCTAGCCACGTTTCCTGCCCTTCGGGAGGCCTAAACGCGTCCGCACCTGCACCGAGGGAAACAAAAGTCTTCGTGGCGCCTCTTGGCGCTGCGATGCCGTAAACGCCATGAAACGACTGGCCCAGCTACGCGACTGCGTGTTTTGGCCTGCTCTTGCCTCCTTGAGAGGAAACGCGTGTGCTTGAGGCAGGTTTTCATTTGGGAAGCAAGTGAGCTCCAGAGCTCGGGTTCAGACTCCTCTCGCTTAGGAGCGGGGTCGGCACGTCGGACCTGCCCTTCCCCTGCGGGAAAGGGGTTGGACAGCCCAAAGGAGCAAAAAATACCATGGCCGTAACCACCCCCCCGCCACCCCCCGAAGCTGAGTTTGGGCATCTCCTGTTAGATCACTTTAAATCCAGCCCTGTTGGGCCTTTGTGTCCGATTGAAACAGCGTGACCGAATACTTGCCAGCGGGGAAGCCTTGTTTGATTGTGGAGGATATAAGATGATTCGAACACAAGAGCTGATAGTTTCAAGTAACTGAAACTTAACCTTGCCGTATAAAGCTTTATTGTCTTGCCACAGAAATCCTCTGTCCGGGAGAGCACAGCTGTGAGGAAAATAAATGCTGCTCTTCTTTTTTTTTCTTTCTTTCTTATGTTGCTGTTTGTTTGTTTTAGAGTCAGGGCCCTCGCACGGGTTTGGGAAGGGCGAGCGGTGCCCTG